AAACCATATAGAAGGAGTTTGCCCAATTTTATTCTACAGAGAGCAGCTAGTGAATTCAAACCACATGCCTTTGAGATTGCAACACAGCTTCGTACCATGAGGCCATCACAGTGCCAATGCGTAAGCACCTAAGTTATGTTTAAATCAAATTATGTAACTGTGGAATTATTTTCTAGACTTCTAGTGAAAAAGATTATTTTTATTTTTCACTGCAGGCCAAACAGCTGCGAGAGCATTACATGAGCAAGTGTAATACAGAGGTGGCCGAAGCCCAGCAAGCCCTGCAGCCTGTGCAGCAGACCATCCGCGAGCTGCAGAGGAAGGTGTGTCCCCACAGTGACACTTGTTCTTGCTGTGTTTGCCTAGCGATACATTTCTGGTTTTAGTTTGGAGAGCAACTTGAACTGTTTTTCCTGGTAGAATTCTTAATAACTAGTGAAATGTCTGACCCACAGTAAAAGTTTTATTATTTAGAAACAATATTCCTGGATTGAGATGTAAATAAATGCATTGATAAGTGAACTGTGTTTTATGTTGTTGAAGTGTTTTTTAGCACATCTTGTTTTACATGTTGGCACAGTAACCTTGCATTCATTCAGAGCAGGCAGGAAGAGATGTGTTCTCTTTGTGTGTACGGAAGAGGTACTCACTCATTCGACCTGTCTAGAGTATTTCTATTTGTCTGTGCTGTTTTAATTCCTTTGAGTAAAGCATTTATTATTTCTGTTGTATTTGTCTTATTACCATTCTGGTTGATGGAAAGATAAGTGGGTACAGGGGAAAGATATTTGGATGAATGGAAGATCGATAAGAGAGAGAAATGTATCATCTGCTGTCCTTTTTTCCCTACAGATACATTCTAATTCTCCTTGGTGGCTTAATGTGATCCAAAGAGCAATAGAATTTGCTTTTGAAGAGGAACTTGTTCAGCGAGTGCGAAATGAAATAACCTGCAACTATAAGCAACAAACCGGCAAACTTTCTATGTCAGAAAAGTAAGCACACAGTACAAAGTAGAATAGTCACCCCAAGCACTCAGCTCATGTGGCATAAGAGATGCAATTAAATGTCTTTTTTTTTTTTTTGTGAGAAAAATTTATATTTAGAATTCGCCCACCGGACTCAGTTTGTTGTTGTTGTTATGTGCCGTTGAGTCATTTGCAACTCATAGCGACCCTATGTACAACAGCCCTAAACCGTGCTTTACCCTGTGCCAATCTCATTGCCGCTGACACACCCATCCCGATTACCCCAGTCACTGAATCAATCCA